TTATTCAGTTGGGACCTGCAGATCGACCACCAGTACCAGACCGATGATGGAAACTGTGGGCAATTCTGTGTAATTTAGTGCACGAGGGGGGAGGCATGAAATGAGGCCGTGCTGCAATGTGGCTGTGGGGACCGGCCGCCCTCCCTGGTCGCCGATCCCCACGCTCTCACTCCGCTTTACCCGACTGTTTGCCATCATTCATTCGAGACATTCCTTTGCACCTGGCCGGTCGCCTCGTATGCGGCCGTACATGCGGCCAAGGGCTAGTCGTTGCTCTCCCTTTGCTTTGCCCCCAAGGATGCAGCACTGTACCAGCGCACGCAGTACATGCAAAATCCACAGGGCGTCTCGGTGTTGCCAGGTTTGCGCTGCGCCCAGTCACATGAACCAAGACAGGAGCGGCCCTCTGATTGGTTCATGTTTCTTTCCTCTTTGCAATATTACAAAAGCAAATCGTACTGAGCACTACTAATATTTAACACACTACTACTTAGGCTCAATGACCCACTGCATGCATGGATTACACGGGTGATGTAACAGTAATAGTATATCATGTCCAAGCGATTGCGAGTAGACTAGATGGGGCTGCCGAAGCCGAAGCCCCAGGAGCAGCCGGAGCTGGAGGTGGTGAGGGCGTGCTGCTCCCTGTCCCTGTCCCGGTCCCTGGCGGCGCCGCTGCCCCATCGCCGGAGCAGCTCCTTGTACTCCTCCTCCTCGACGATGGCGGCGCCGACCTTGCTCCTCCACGCCTGTTCGGCCCGGGCCAGCTCCGTCTCGGCGTCCCGGATCAGCGTGTCCAGGTCCAGCCCCAGGTCCAGGCCGGCGTCCAGGCTCACGCTCAGCCCCTTCTCGATCTCCTTGCTCCGCGCCATCTCCGCCCAGTACTTGTCCTCCAGCATCGCCAGGAACTCCTCCTCCACCCCCTCCACCTCCAGCGCCGACGCCTCCCCCGACGACGACGACAGCTCCATGAACAGGCACGGCTTCTCGTCCTCCGCCTCCTCCTCCTCCGCCGCCGCCAGCGCCTCCAGCGCCAGCGCCGCCCGCCTAGACCGCGACGACACCGTGCTCTTCTCCATCGTGATGAACCCCTCCTCCTCCTCCATCTCCGCCACCGAGTTCTCGATCGTGATGAACCCGCCCCGCTCCGACCGCAGCGACGTCGCCCGCCGTGGCGCCCCCGCCGCCGCCGACGGCCGGGTCCGGAGGCAGCTCAGGTCCGGCAGGCACGACGCGTACGAGGCGCTCTTTCCCTTGTTCTTCCTCTCCCGCGCATGCCCTGCCACGTACCGATGCATGTTAAACGTGCACCGTATGTATACACTTGGTACAATTGAAATGCAAGTGCTCGGCTAAATTAACAGGTCACATCAAGCAGCGATGAACGAGGACGCTAGCTATAGCTAGGGTTTCTTTACTTCTCCGATGGAGGCTACAAGCTAGCTAGCTAGGTCAATAGAAGATTGCTACTGATTTGGATGATTGGACCTCGATGGAAACGTTTAGAATTTGTTTACCACATGCATGCACTGCACCCGTTAACGTACCGTTGGCGCCATGGACCTCCTCCTGCTCCATCACTCTGCAGTAGACGCTCACCGTGAGCACGGCGCCGGCGGCCGCCCCGCCGAGCGGGAAGCTGAGCGCCTTGCCGCCGAACTGCGGGTGCGAGCTCTTGGCCGCGGCGGCCTCGGCGAGGTCCACCGGGAACGCGCCGATGTCCCCGTCCCCGGGAGCCGAGCCCTCGTCCACGAGCACCGCCCACACGGTGAAGCTCCGCAGCGTGGAGCCGCCGGCGGTGAAGTAGTGCAGGAACACCTCGTCGAACGCGGCCGCGCCGCCGCGCGACACCCGCGCGGGCGCCGTGTGCTCGCCCTCGCCGCCCTTGCTCCTCCACCCGACCACCACGCCGCGGCCCTCGGCGGCGGGGGGCATGCCCGTGACGTGCTGCACCTGGAGGCACACGACGCAGCGCGGGCGCCGGGGCCGGAGGGAGTCCAGCAGCCGGCACTTCCACTGCCCGAGCGCGCCCCGTCCTCCTCCTCCACCATTATGGACGACGCCGTTGCCGTCGTCAGGGGAGCACCTGGCATTCTGCAAGAGGTTGAGCTCCTCCAGCAGGAGGGAGGAGGAGGCGTGGTGGTGCGTCTTGTTGCCTACCATGTCGGCGGCCGGAGGAAGGAGAAGAACCGAAGAAGAGATCCGAGTGAGAGGAAGTGCAGTGCATGTAACTGAGTACTGAGAGCTGGGTAGTGTAGTGTAGTGTCTGTACAACAGGTGTAAAGAGGAGAAGAATATATACACACACAAGGAGGTATACAGACGTAAGTGGTGATGATTTGGGTAGCATGGTGTGTCTCACCATCACCGTACGTGCATGTGGACGGCTGAGTTGGTGTGTGGACTGTGGAGGAGGCATGCAGGACATGGGGAGCCCAGCCCTAATGTGGAAAGGGGTGGCCACCGGCCAATGGCCCGACTAGGGTCTAGGGTCATTTTTTGCCTCCTACTTTTTTTTTTGATACAATGGCCCTCCTATTTTTTGCCTCCTACTTGTACTTGTGTTTTTACCTAAACATGAGGGTGTGAGACTTCTCTTCTTTACAATTAAAAGGATGATGAGGGGTTCGTAAATCCTAGTGGCGCATCGCATGTGTGTAAATGTGAGGATCAGGACTTGTACCACCACCCCATGAAGATGTGGTTTATGTCAATGCATCAACACTCTGAAAATAAGTGAAGATCGTACCAGAATGGACAGCTTGTGACAATCAGTATGTTGTACATATACTATAATCACCCCATTCACGTGAAACGCTCAAAAGGTTGAATTTGTAAACTTCTTTCTGAATTTAAGTATAATAGATACAGGAAAGGCACCAAAGCCTTCGAGAAAAAAGGATAGGCAAAGGCTTTAACAAATCATACCATAAGTACACAGTGCCAACTTTGCCAAAAAAGTACAGTGCCAACTAGTCTGGGGTGGCGCAATGGCAGAGGCATGTCCATCTTAACCACCCTATGTGTAGGGAACAAAGTGCATGTGCCATGCAGAAAGTGAGGGGGATTAGCACACGAACTATGCACAATTAACTCTACTTAATCTCTGTGGTCCTAACCCATTGGTGGCGGTGATAATTATCTTGTAACTAATTAACTAAGGCAGTAATTAATCTTACATGACAATTGACAGTTGTCACCAGGGCCAAGGGGAGGGTCTAATTCTTTTACTTGGCCAGGGACCAGCAAGTAGAGCACTTGCCATCTCCATGCATGGCTCCTCCCCTAGCTTCAAGGGTCATCCAACTCCAACCTTGGACTTAGCCATTTATCACCATGCAATTTGCTGGTTCATGTGTTGATTTGATGTTTTTTATGGGGCTAATAGGGGTCCAGTTCTAGGGAAGACTGCAAGATGATTTGATCCATCAACTATTTGCATCTACACCTGTACAGGGATGGGGTAGTGATGGCGAGCTAGGTACGCTTGTACCAATGTTTTGACTTGGTGTGAGCGTAGAATTAGCAAATAAAACCAATTGGTACTTTAGCAAATAAAATTAATTAGTACATACTTTGGAATTGTATATATATAACCAAATGAGTGAGTTATCCACGCTAACCTCAATCAGTGTTAATTTCCCCTCCTCCGATGCAGCTACACCACCTCTATCACTTTGAGCCTTTGGATGCAGATCGAATGGCCGGGATCATGTACCCTATACGTCTACAAAAATTATGCCACCACTGCGCTTATTGGGACAATTATATTAGTATCTAATAGTGTGAACGTGTTCTGTTTTTCAGAATAAAGGGTGCGAATGTGTGATACCTATCTTTGTACATTACTTCATACTCCCTCCGTTCCCAAATATAAGTCTTTTTTGACGTTACAACAAGTGACTACATACGGAGCAAAATGAGTGAATCTATACTCTAAATTATGTCTGCATACATCCGTATGTTGTAGTCTATTTGAAATGTCTAAAAAGACTTATATTTAGGAACGGAGGGAGTATATGACAATGCCGCACACATGCGTGCATACGCCTAACTGAAACACAGTAGATCTAGGCAGAGGTCATTCAAAAGAAAATCCAAGATTCATCCTATATATCTCCCAAGGACCACGAGACTCACGATATACTATGAAAAAACGCACGCAAGCGAAAATGCAACATACTGGCACTCAGTCCAAGGATTAGACTGTGCATTGCACCACGTCAAGCAGGGTCAGAACTTCCTTAGGGCACTCCCAATGCACTATATCTTAAGCTATCTTATATACATAAATGTGCGTTTAGATACAACTCACTAGTGCAGAACCGGGCTATAGCCCCGGTTCATAAGGGGCTTTAGTGTCGGTTCTGCAACCGACACTAAAGGGTGGGGACTAAAGGTCTCCCCCTTTAGTACCGGTTCTGCACGAACCGCCACTAAAGTGCCACTACGTGGCACGAGCCGGGGCCGGGTGGCGGGAGACCTTTAGTACCGGTTGGTAACACCAACCGGTACTAAATGTTTGGGCTGTTTTGGTCTTATTTTTTATTTTTCCTTTAGTTTGTGTTTTCAATTTAATTTAGAGATTATTTTTACATTATAATGAGTTGTTAAATTATTAGGTGAAAGTACCGCATATTAGTTTCAACTGGGATGCATGTATGGATCCTATAGCTAAGTGATCAAATTATATATGCCATATCCATATTACTTGATCACTTATATTAGGTGAGCAAGTAATATGGATATGGCATATACTTGATTACTTAGCTAGCTAGGATCCATTCAGTTGAAACTAATATACGGTTTCTTTCATATATGATATAATAACTCATCATAGTCGTCATTAGCACTATTTAATTACCATAGTCATCGCTATCTAATCACCACCAACATATACTAGCTTAAAGAAGAAACATTCACTTGTACCAGAAAGAAAGATATCATCGAGTTCAACATGGTCATGATTATAAGCGTTCATATATAAGACCACAAAAGCAAATCACTCTTTAAGATTAAGTTCAGGACGAAGAACACGAAGAGCATGCTAATCACTCCTGCTGCTCTCTCTCAGGTAAAATAGCATAGAACATGTATAGCTCTCCTGATTCATCATATTGGAGCATGCTAATGAATATGTCTCCTAATCGTGGGCTGCGCTTCTGATTGCTGCCCCATAGTACTTCTCTGCGATCGTGGACAATTCTGCTCCAGTCTTTCACTATTAAGCATTCCTCGCTAATCTTGAATGCACTAAAGTGCATTATAGGAGGTCTTGGCCATAAGCTAACAATTCTCATGCGACCTTTAGTCTCGATCCACTGAGGCAGAACATTCATCGGGAGTCCCTATTGAAGAATATCGTATAGTATAACATACTTAGCAATGAAGTTTAGCTTAAAAATAATGTATGCAAAAGATGCACTGAGAAAAAATAGTAAAAATCTTACCATCTTTCCTAAATAGATGTGACCGTAGTGTCGTGGTTCTAAGTCTGACAGTAGAGTGGGGGGTAGGTATGGAGAGGCAAGGTCCTAGCTATGGAGAGGTTGTAAACACAAGAGATGTACGAGTTCAGGCCCTTCTCGGAGGAAGTAAAAGCCCTACGTCTCGGAGCCCGGAGGCGGTCGAGTGGATCTTGTGTATATGGATTACAAGGTGCCGAACCCTTCTGCCTGTGGAGGGGGGTGGCTTATATAGAGTGCGCCAGGTCCCCAGCCAGCCCACGTAATGAAGGGTTTAAGGTGTATTAAGTCCGGTGCGTTACAGGTAACGCCCCACATAAAGTGTCTTTACTATCATAAAGTCTACTTAATTACAGGCCGTTGCAGTGCAGAGTGCTTCTTGACCTTCTGGTGGTCGAGTGAGTCTTCGTGGTCGAGTCCTTCAAGTCAGTCGAGTGAGTCCCTCGTAGGTCGACTGGAAGGTGATCTCTTCTAAGGGTGTCCTCGGGCAGGGTACTTAGATCAGGTCCGTGACCCTACCCTAGGTATGTGACTCCATCATTAGCCCCCGAATGGATTGAGGCTTGAGTGATGAAGGAGTTGATGTTGTTTCCGATTAGCTTTTGCATACTGGTTGTGCGTTGTTTTTGAACCAAAAAATTCTCTCTGTTGCTAGTGAACAACTTTTCTCCAGTCGACTCGATCCATTCTTCTTCTTCGTCGAGTGATCTTTTTGGACTTCGCTGATTTCCGAGCGACGGATCACAGGAAATCCCGCGTCTGGCAGACTGATCTGCCGTCCGCGCATTCCGCGGGATACGGAATTTGGGGGAGCACGCGAAGCGGAGCGGACCGCGGCGCTCGGATGGGACGGGGCATAGACGCCTCGATTCCCGCGCCGCTTTTTTCGCCACGTATCACGCTTGCGCAACTGTTACAGGATATGATTAGATCGACCGGGTCCACCTGTCATCCACTCGGAAGGGATCTTATAAATGGGCCCGGCGAGGGTTTTTTGAACAGTGCCTCAGCATTCTCTCTCTGCTCCCTTCGTCTCCGCCCAACGCGCACGCTCTCGCCTCCGCACAACTTCTCCTCACGCGCCTCGCCGGTAGCCATGGTCAAGGAGAAGACGGCGGCGCTGGAGCGCGCGAAGAAGGCGTCGGCGACGGAGAAGGCGAAGGAGAGATCCACCAGCCGCGGCGGGTCTTCGTCTAGATCTCGCCTGCCGAAAGGCTGGGTCCAGGGAGATTGGATCCAGTCGACCATCACGGAGAAGGATCTCCTCGACATGGACAACGAGGGCCTGATCCCTCATGGAGCTGCGAGGCTTCCGGGGAAAGAGTGGCAGCCTCAGCCGGAAGAGGGTGAGTGCGTGCTTCTGGCTACCCATGTCGACCGCGGATTCTCTTTGCCGCCGAGCATTTTCTTCCGTGGTTTCTTGAACTTCTTTGGAGCGCAACTCCACCACTTTACCCCGAATTCTATCGCCTATCTTGCCGCGTTTGTGTCCATGTGTGAGAGTTTTCTGGGCTGACGACCGCATTGGGGCTTGTTCAAGCACATATTCACGTGTCGCTCTCAAACCGTGAAGAAGGCGAGCCCAGGTGACGAAAGAACCCGAGTTGTCCAAATGTGTGGAGGTCTGGGGATCCAGGTGAGGAACAAGAGCACCTTCCCAGCCATGACATTTCCCGAGTCAGTCAGAGGCTGGCAGTC